CGAGTATAGTCTGGAGCAGTTTAAGCTGCAGTAGCACAGAGTCAAAGCAGATTTTGCAGCGCACACTAAGATGAATGGCAAATTTGCTGAGCTGAGCTCTGCTGCGGCAAGTTTGCAACTTACGCTGGAGTCAGACAGGGAAAAGCCATCGGGCATCTCTGCATGATACTGCTGTGATATCCTGGTACACTTTCTGGAGAAAAACAGTGGATACTCAGCAACATAGTGCCCTTTGTTAAAAAGCGGGAGTTTCTAACTTGCCAAGTGCTGCATTGTTCTTACATTCACTCTCAATCATGGTCTAGAAGCAAGAGCGACAGGTATCAAAATCACATGTGATTGACTAGATTATCTGAGAGGTGCACTTTTTTCCCTAAGCAAATACAACGAAGAGAAATGTTAACGTCTCATAAGAACTGTGCTCAGTACAACATATCCTTCACATCTGACCATTGCCTGTAACAGCAAAGGCTTTTGCTTTCATTAAAATTCCAGCTTCAAAACGTCTCTGTAGCTCTCTCAAGAGCTACTCTTTGCAAGTCTCTTTGAAAAAAAATTAAACGTACTTTTTTTTTCTAATCTAGTTGGCAGCTTTTTCTAACCTAAATGACATTCACATTTTATGCAACACTTCTTTTGCGCCCCTCACTGCTAGAGCATCTCCCAGCAATACAACACCTTTGTCTCATGGCCACCACGATTATTAGGGTGCAAGGTTGGTACAGGAGTTTACCAAGTCAAGATGTCAAGCAGTCTAGTTATGATCACCAGCCATCCTTGAAGACATGCTTCTACAATAGCTACTGAGAGCAAAACTGGACCGCTGCCCTCATCTCAGCGCTAGCGCTAGAACGACGTGGACGAGCTAGATTACGTGTGATTAGGATACGTGCTGCAACCACGTCTCCATGTTGCGGTACAAATAAACTTTCACAACAGCTATTTGGTAGGGAAAAGAATATGGTGGAAGGAAAGGATGGGTTAGAATTAAGATTACTGTAAATGGGCTACAATGTCACATGCAGCGATAACAGCCATGTGATCAGTTACATACTGTTAAGAATGGCAACTTCTCATTTCCTTGTTTTTTCTGGGTTTCCATCTTGCATGTGGCTGCCTGAACAAATCAGCTTAATGGCGTTTCTCCATCTGTTGGGATATAGTGTGATAAGCTTGTATAATTTGTCAGTTAATTATTTACATATGTTCCTGAAATCAGAGAAAAAGAGAAAACTGTATACAGCGAAGGATTAGGGACAGAAGGGTTAGGAGACACAGCAATCAAGTTCACCTCTGATCTCATTGCAGCTAAGGGAGAGCTTAGTGGCTCTGACTGACTTCCAAGAAAATGATATGAGGCTGGAAGAAAGGATCCCAAAATCTAGTTATCAGGCCAGCTTTCTCACCAAGAGCGGTTAATGTGGAAGGATCACAATGTCTTTATAGAGTCCCAGGCTCTGCTGAAGCATGAGGCTTTCGAGCTGGCCCAGCAGGGACGAGCTGCTGCTGGCATCCCGCACTCTTCCTTTCTCCCAGCAGCTCCACACCCCCAGGGCACATAAAGAAGGGATTCCCTGCCTCCTTCCTGGACAGGCCCCTCCAGGCCAAAAGCTCCCTCTGATAAATGCACTTCTGGCAACAGGGTGCTTTACACTTGGAGTGGATGTGTTGAAATATCCATCTGTTTCATCTTACGGCGTTTCCAAACATAACGCGTTCACAAGTCTGGCACAACAGACACACAGGTTTGGGCTGCAGCTGCTGTTCTCTGCGAACACTGAAGGTTTAAGAGCCTCATGTCTCCAGACTGCTTTTAGTCATTGATTTTGTTTAATCATTGCTTTAGACACAGGTTGCTGCCAGATAGACCCTTTCTCTTACACAAGCAGTGAGCAAGAGAGCAAGAGAGGGAATCGTTAGGGTATCTTTGAGCTACTCCACAAGTTTTGGCTTGTGACTGAGCATGAGAGGTTAGAGACAAGAGCGTCCTTCAGATCTGACAGCCTCACACTTTTATTAAATACAACTTTGGGAGGGATGGAAATGGCAAGTCAGCGATATCATTCTCTCTCTCTCTCTCTCTCTTTCTGTGAGATCAGCTTAATCTGACAAAAAAATCTAACAGCTGTGCAGGGCTACAGGGTGTTTTTCAACAGCTGATGTCCCAAGTTCAGAGAGAGGTAAGGCATTTATATTTTCCAATTTTTCTCCTTGACACCACTTGCCAGCAAATTCCAGGGGAATCATAAGGCTCACTTGCTGGCTTCCTCACGCCACACGTTGCATCCAACAGGAGGGATGATCTAAACAATCAATCAACTGTTAAAATTCCAGTTTTTGCTAAAATAAAGTTTTTGTGAAAGAAGCATCTGCTTCTCTTTGAAATATATTTTTCCTAAAACTGTCATAATATGTTATTAGCTAATTTTACCTCACGCATCTTACACTATAGAGAGGTGCTTCCAAGACCATATCGTGCTCTACAAGATGCACCTGGATCATAGCTCCTATGAAATGCCGTTGTCCTTTTGCCACAAGAAGGCTTACAGTGTATTATGGGAAACATATGCTGTTAAGGATCCTGGCCCACAGGAGAGAGAAAGAGCATCGTACTGAATTCAAGCTTCCAGTGCAATGGCATTTCCCCATTTCAATTTCATCTTTAGCTATCTAGAACAAGCGTATGTCAATATTTGAGATAATTTCATCACCACTTTTTGTTCTGGGAACGGGGATGGAGCATGGCTCTGACAAACAGAAGATGCCAAGGAGACAATGCTGTGATGTTAGAGGGACCTTCTGCAGTTCTTACTCAGATAAGAAATTCTTAACAAGACAAGTAGCACCACCCTCTGGACTTCAGTGGGAATCAAGCGAAAAGCAAACAAGCTTCGTTCTTTAGCTGGTGCTGGGTTCAGATCCCACCAACTGCGGAAGTGCTGAGTTCACTGTATTCCCACCACGTATCGGAATTCAGCGTGAGGTCTCCATCAACACCACACTCAACAGTCTCGGAAATCTAATTCAGAACAAAATCAAAGCCACTGCAGCAACAGATTAAAAGCAGAAGGAAGAAAAAATTATCTGAAGAAAAGTAAGAAAAAGCAGTGTACACGAGGATGTAAGCAGAGCTCTTTTGAGAGCTATTTTCCAGACCATTTTACGACCTGTAGACCAGTATTTTGCTCTCCAGATTAACACCAAGGCATTGAGTCAAAGCGTTGCACTGAATCATTTTATTCCGAGACTTGTATTAAGGAAAGCTTTACTACCCATTAGTACTAAAGCAAATCCTGATGTTTTCTCTTCATTCTCCGTTCTAGAAGTTAAGGACCTTGTAGAGAAAAAAATATAAATATTGGAAAAACAAGCAGTTTCACAGTAATTCCTCTGTCAGTGGATTCAAAATGATTCCACTTTCTTTCTCAGTTATTTTGATGTTTTCACTTTATTTCATATCTATTTTCAAATTTGAGTGCAACTGTGTAAGAGTAAAGTAAAAAGCTAAGAGTTTTTTTTAACAGTTCTAGAAGAGGAAAACTCACTCTTGCACAGAAATGGCTGGTTTTTAAACCATGATGGCACAAAGGACAAGATTCAAACCATTGTCCTAGTGGGAAAAATCTACGTGGACGTCGTGGGAGTAGTTTGTCAGTGTGAGTAGAGAATTCCTTCTTGTTGTTATGACACCTGAAAAGACATCTTTCTCCGGGGTGTAACCTGTTTAAACAACCGATTATGAGGCCTGATACTACTAATGTGCAAGGTAATGAAGCAGAATTCCTGCAAGAGAAATTCACTTCTCTGTATTGCATAGAAACGCTATATATCATATAGGCATTACGCTAGGGGATTTCCTCAGTTCAGTCAGTTTATGAAATCCTGGTGCTTAATTTATATTTATGGCAAAACAAAACACCCTTTGAATAATGCAGGGATAGTGATAAACATAAGTCAAATGGGACTATAAAATCATTCTTGTAGTTTTTCAGATAGTATACCAGAGGGAAGATAATTTGGTGTTTTAAATGAAGACAAAGAACTTGTTACCTGCAATATACAGCAGAAAGGAGATTCAGCACTTAATTTTCCTAACTGCTCTGCCAGTAGTTATTTTTGAATGGGGACTAGACGACCATTAGATTAGATAGGATTGGACTAGGTGATCTCTAGCAGTCCCTTCCAACGTCAACAATTATGCGATACCCATAAAAATCTTTGCCTCTTCTGTGACCAGCCAGATAATTTGGTGTCTTGCTTTGTTTCACCAGATACCGAACAATAGCATTGGCCTTATGGAGAAATATTGACAGTATTTCACATTGACAACTGTAGTCTATTCTGGGAGATGTCATTGCAGATATTGAGGATTTTCAGCTTCCGTGAAATCAACGGGAGTAAAAGACGCTCAGCTTTTCACGACTGAGCCCATCCAAGCAAACAGCATTTGGTTTTGTTCAAAAACATCTCTCTGCGTTGATTATGACTTCTGCTCCCCATTAGTACCTCCTGCGATGTTCAGCACACAGATACAGCCAGGGTTTGGGGATGGTTCCTTATTAGCATACCTGACATACCTGGCTCTTTGTTTAATGGCAATAAGTCATTATAGTAACAGATAGGGCTATTAGCGCTGGACTTTGCAATGTTTTTGTCTAGAAACACACATTGGCTGAAGAAAAAAGTGAGAAGCTTGTATTCACTGATGCAAAGGCGCTTTGCCCAACTTTGAACTCACTCCGGACATTGAAATGAGGAGCAGAGCTAAGAACGCAGCAGCCCTGCGCTGTGCCAGGAATCAGCCTCTTGCTAGCTTGCTGCCCAGTGCTGGTAGTGGCAGGCCACTCACACTGCTGACAGAAGCTCTGCACCAGTTGAAGCCTGTATCTCTTGGCTCGGGGAAGGATTTTTTGCAACACAAACCGGGAAAGCTGAAGGAGAGGATCAGTAGATGGTTGCAAGCTACCACCCTTGTGTAGAAAGAAGGGTAGCTGCTCAGTTCTGCTACTCTTGTTGGGTGACTGTGCTCTGTATTGGAAGTGAGTGTATGTACACATGTATAAATAATACCCAGATATACTGTACCTTTCTGTGACCAAAGGAGAGCACAGATGATCCCACCAACCTCCAGACACTCTCCTGCCCAAATGATGCTTCCCTTCTGTTGATGCTGGATGAAGATCCACGGTCTGTCCTCTCCATTCACCGCTTTCCAGTCCTGTTCCCAAATGATCGGTTTCAGGGATACATTCCTTATACTTACCATTGCATCAAAATAGAGACGAATTTCCTCCTCCATCTGCCATGCAATTTTATTGTAACATTCTTCCTTTCCGAGGCAGGCTGCAGTTAAGTTGCTTACAAGGAAACTAACCCAGAGTAATCATTTGCTCTTGCAGTCAATCTAAAAATAAAAATCTAAAGGCAAGGGATTTCAAATGCAAGGTGATGCAGTGACTGCAGTCATCAGATCTGAAGAGGATGAAAACACAAGGACTTGAGCTGAGCAGTAGCTTAGGGAAAGGTAAATATACAGATCACAAAGCTGAAAGACAAATGCAGGCTTTTATCTTATCTTGTCCACTATAGGTGCAGAAAGTGAGAAGAATCCTCTGTCTATCTTGTAATACTTGTGTGTTCTTGCAGTACTGATGCTGAGCTCCTCTGTACTGCTACATTGCTTATAGCTGGATTTCCTCTATCGAATTAAGAAAGTAACCTACCAACCCCTCTTTTCTTGAAAGTAACTATTGTTCAGCCTTTCTTTACAATGCTTTCCTGATTTTTTTAATGGTTTGGTGAATGTTTAAGAAAACACATAAGGCATTTTAATTGTCCTTTTCCTAGAATGTTTCAGCCTTTCAAATTGGAAGTGGAAGAGTAGCCTCAAGGGCGCACAGGTTTTGCAAGATAACCGTACTTATCTAGTGCCGGAAACCTTTGGCCTCAAGCTTCACAGCTCGTTACACACCTGAGATGTCACAATATCTGACCAGAACTGCATGGCCTGAAGGGATGAGGGCCTCTCTTAGTAATTTTGGTCTTTGTATGATACACCCTCCGTCTGGGAAGCGGGCTAGTTCTCTGGTGCCCAGGGACACTGCAGCTTTCAGCTAGGGTGCTGTATGATGAACGCACACAAAAACATCTCTCTTAAAGCCCAGTCAAACTAGATTTCTCCAGATATTACACTCTGCTCCGGACTCCTGCTGTAGTGGAAGGGAGAATTGCACTGGAATTGAAAGCTGACTGGAAATGCGGTGGTCTCGGACATACTAAAAATACTAAAAATGCCGGTAATTTCTGTTCTTGTTTCTGACTGAAAGGAGTCACCAACATTTATGAATACTTTCTAAATGATTAGAATTTGGGGGTGAAGTAATAAACGTAGTTAGTAAACTAGAGGAACTGTGTTTGAAACGCTTGTCCTAATTAACAAGACAGGAAGGAATGAGAGAAATGCTCACCTTGGGCCTGTGAAAGGACTGCTAAGATACACCTATTCCTGCAGAGTTTCAAGGTTCAGAATAGCTCGGATCCAAAAGCTTCAATTCCCTTTTCCTCATCTGAAAAAAAATAAAATAAAAAAAAAAAAAGGCAGCCTGTTCATGCCTCTGCCTTCACAGCACCTTTCTTGGTCTGGTGCCTACCTGGTTGAAGCTGAGGCAGGGATCAGACAGTGTAGCGGATGTGATGCTGGTAATGGGACACTACTTCTTCTGGACTGCCAAGTTTTTGATCTGACAGGCTTTATCTCTTTCCCCAGGAGGACATTGTTTGGTTTCCATTCCTCCATCTCAGCTTCTCCTTTTTTTCCACTCTCCCATCTTAATTCCTACATGAGGAATCACAGAAGAGAAATTCTCCAAAGTGACCCTGCTAGTTGTTTCTTCCGCTGGACTTCTGAGCCATTAGAGATAATTTCCTTTTCCCTCTCTAAAACACACCAGTCTGAGTTTCTCTGGTTATATGACATTGTATCTTATGGTCCATTGGTGTATAATAACTTCCAAATACCGTGATTCTTGCTCTGTGTTTAACGCACAGTTACAGTGAAAGGAAGTTTAGCATGGCTATATTTTTGTTTTTCTCTTCATTGCAGCCTGCCCATGGAAGTATGCAAGTCCTCGCATGCTCCCAGTTACAGCCGCAAGAGTCTAGGGGAGGCTAATAAAGTTGCAGTGCTATAAGTAAAGGCAGAGTTTTCCTCATCCTAGAAAATTCCTGTAGCTTCATATTGTGACCTTTTTCAAATCCTCTCCTCCAAGCTGGTCTCTCAAAATAGATATATTTCCAAACCATGACATTTTAAAACCAAGAACTGTGCATATGCTGTAATTATGCTATATTTTGTCAAGGTCTGTGCTAGTCTTTAGCATACTTGCAGTAAGCCTCAAACTGGGATATCCTAGAAGGCAGTATCAACTCCCAAGGAAATAGATTAATTTGCTAAATATATTTGTTTATGACTCTGCATACACACACTCACTGAACATTCGACAATGAACCACCCTTGTATTTACCATGAAATATTCAGAGCAGAAGTAACATTATCACAGCTCCCACTGGAGCTGTCTTTGTCCGTGTAGTATACTGGTCTCATGCACAAAATAAGATGAAAAGCAGCCCCGTAGTGGGCACTGGTCAAGAAACTGGGTCCTTATAACTTTGCCAGGCTACTCCAACAAGCTTTCTCCCTCTCATAAACAACAAGATGTAAAGGATTTATCTGTTTACCAACTACAGTTAAAAAGTCCTTTGAAATGTCTATATCTGCTCTTGAGAAGAAAAAAAGGCACCTTCACTTCTTTGTATGAGCCTTTATCTTAATGTCCGCCTGCTATTTTTTATTTGTCAGGTCCCTTGAGGTTATTTCTATATGCATCTTGCACACTAGTAAGCACAGCACAGCTCAAACACTAAGGCTTCCCATTTACTAGTAACATTGGTAATTCTCTTCCTTCAAGTACTAAAAACATTGTGTCCTTTGACATTTCAGTGATGCATTACCTGTTATTTGGAATATAAATGTGAACCCAGAACTGATTTTTCGACAGATAGCAGCTTAGCATTTTCTTGTAGAAGTAGTTCATGGTTTTTAAGTTCCAGTCCCAGCTTTTTAACAGGACAGGCAGAGTTTGACATCGTTATACATCTTTGACCGAGGAGAGTTCTTCAACATGAACATTACCTTGATTATTACAAGGTCCAGTAAAGTCCTGTTTAAGTGAAATTGCTTTTGTTATCTGACCTTGAAGGTAACTGTTGATTCCATTAAGCACAATACAGCAGAAGGACTTCTTACGCTGAGCTAAGCTGTACAAACCTCACTAAGCAAACCCACTAAAACCAAAGAGTACTGGCATATTGGTTCACTTTGTACAAAGACTGTATGTTAAAAAACAGGATATATGGATGCAGAAAATAGATAAATAAAGAAGCAGCCTATTTACAGAGAAGGGGAGCAGAGAATTAACTTAAGACATCTCCCATAGGAAACTACTCTCTCCCTATGCATCCAGTGGATTAACACTAGCCCTAACTCAGATATCCTGAACTACCCTCTGGAGCAGTTTGTTGCTCTCCACTGACTGCCTGGGTCTCCTATCTTAAATACCCTTGAATTAGATGCAGTAAGTTAGGCAATATCTTTTCCCTTGACTCTTCAAAGTCACACTACACTTTTTTTTTCTTTTATTTTTGTAAGTAAAAAGAATGCAGATATGGAGATAGTGCCGTTACTGTAACTATAGTCCAAGTTAACTTTTCTTATCAAAAATTGCAACTTAAGGAAGCAATAAACCAGGTCTTCCAAAACATCATAAGAAACTATGTTCTTTTGTATAAGTTAGACCCTGCTCTCCTTGAATATTTCATCCCTTAGACAGTTCAATGTATTAAAAAAGTGGTGAGTCAGGTTTGCAACGTGGCTACAGCTATGTGCTTCTCCTAAATTAATGGGGATCTGTTCTCCACAGTTACATATTTTCAAAGTGCTATATCAATGAGAGTGATATGACTTGAGGGGATAGTTAATAGACTTGATGTGTTTGAAGAAGTTAATCAAAAAGAAGTATGTTAGTTCTTTTATAGAAGTGCATTCAGCAGCATCAGTTCCTCTGTAATCCCATATTGTCTGGCAGATGTGAGGTGTGCAACTGCAAAGCAATGCTAAGGGAGGATCTATTTCACCTAGACCTCAATTCAGCATACCTCAATAAGCATACAGTTCAAAAGCTTTCTGAACTTGAGTCTCAATTATAAATTAAATAGCGTTAGGGGTGGATGAAGGGGAGTTTGAAGAATTCCATTTAAACAGCCTCTGCAGGTAAGACAATTCCGGCTCACCTTTCCAGCTATACACAATTTCCAGTCAATAAGCTGAGCAAACAGCATCTGCTTGCAATAAAGCAACTGACAACAGCCACAGCAACTGAAAAAGAAGAAACATGTTGTAGCAGGGACTGCCCTCTTCCACAGAAGCCTTGAGGGCCAAGCTTATGTAGGGGAGACCACACACATGCAAGGGAGGCAAAAAGTTCCCCAGGGCTCCTGCACCTCCCAGCAGCATGGGCTTGGCAGCAGGCACGCTGGGGAAACAAGCAGAAGATGCAAGAGATGGCAGCAACCTCCACTCTCAGAGGAGTCAGACACAGGTGAGGACATGTGGCTGCTCTCTGAAGTGCTGATGGTGGATGTTACCTTCCTGGGCTGACCGTCCATTCATTTCTGTTCCTCCACACCCCTGTCCAACCACACACAAGATGCCTTTCTTCAACTTGGCCTCACCCCCAGGCTTCTTTCCTGCCCCCTTGTCAATGATCGCTCTTCCTTTCCTCTTTCTCTTATTTAGTTTCTCTTATTTAATTTACTCATCACAGGACTCGACAGGCCCATAACTCCCTCACCCTTAAATGAAAAAGAAAAAGACCACCTAATAAGGCTCTAAAACCGGCTCTTCTCTTGGTTGGTTCACCGTTCCGCCACATCTTCCTCAGTTGTCTAGGTATGACCCCTCCAAGACTTTACTATCTCACTGGATTTGGCACAGGAGGGACCCAAATATTTGTCAGCAGTGTTAAACAGATGAGCAAGACACAAAGCAAGTATGACTTTTTTGTCTCCACCTTCTTCTGTCTTTTCACAAATTTTAGGTAGTGAAACACCTAGACAGATATAAAAAGATCTGGCCCAAGGACTGAAGTATCAGTATCTTCTGGTACCTTATACCACCGAGGGACTGAGCACTCAAAACTGCAATGAGACTGTTGTGTTCTTCTTGTGCCGATATAACGTCAGATGCTGACTCTTTCATTGCGCTTTCTCAGCCACTTCTGCTTGCAGTTATGAGTCTTAATAGCAGTAGGGATCCAGCTCAGCACTTGGTTCCCAAGCAAAAGTCACAGGAAAGCTAGAAGCAGCAGGATCGCCTCCTGGGAATTTCAAAAACACCCCCCTTCAGTAAGTTCTCCATGGCTGTAGTTTTTAGAGAAGAAAAATCATCTCTTTCAGCAGCATAGTGAAAAAAAAATGGTGAAATGCATAGACTTTGAAGTGATGAGGAAGTACCATTATCCGTTCATAGACAGCAATCTGGCATTCATTATATGTGATAGGGAGGCTGCATACTGCAATGCACGTAAGGACACATTCCCTACAGAAAGCAGGGATAGGCACACGCTGCAGTCTCACATGCCATACAGGTTACCTTTTACACAAACTGGCTAGCTGGCATTTATTCCCTCTCACGTGCCATAGGGAGCCATGAGGCTCTTCCTCCGCCTTTGGCCATTTTTTCTTCTGAGGCATCTCACTGCTAGCTGAAAATGTGTTCTACCTGCATGTGGACTGTCGTCAAGCCTTGGTTTTCTCTGTTCTGGCTTTCGTCTCCCATCCGCTTTAAAGATTGAAGTCCTTGTTCTAGCTATAACATTTTCTGAATCCCCTGTCTCTGATAGCACAATCAATCTCTCTGATTTTTACTAGAAATACTGAGTTTGTCGTTGAAATCCGATATCTGTTCCCTACTCCTACTACTATTCCTTGGCTCACTTGTAGGTTAAGGACAAATTCTGAAATGCAGGTAGGACTCCTGGAAACCCCAAGCCAGCTTTAAAAACTTAAGAGCTGGGCCAGCTGACACTAGCTGAGGAAACGGACCTGTATTTAAATTGTCTAAAAAAAAAATCCCAGCTTCTATTAATTAATAACAGAATATTGACTGAGAAAATGATAAGCAACAACATTAAAAGTAAAGGTTTAGCTTTATCGTCACATTTCCTGATTAGTCAGAGTTTAATTTCTCCCCTCAGAGACGGCATTAGTATTGTTTGCACTGGGTACCGTGGTTAGGCTGCACAGACTGTTACTAAAGACATTCATGAGGATACGGTAGGCCAAAGAAATATCATAAATAAAAGAAAGGGAGGATTATGCCTTCGGCTTGACGTCTGGGACTACTCTCTCCTTTCCTTGGCTATATGGACTATTCACTTCCCTGCTACACAAATGGCAGCAAACTCACCTTGGTCCCCAGAGCTCCGACCAGCCAAAATCACACCTGACAAGGTTGCTCAGTTCACTTAAGAATTTCCAGAGTCAGTAGGCACGTACGAAAGATAGCAGGGACATCCCCTGTGATACAGCCAGTGGCTTTAAGGAGAGCAAAAGCATCAAAATCCCACAGGCTTCCCCACTAGAGCAGAACCAGGGAGGAGAATTAAGATGCTTCCTATTATCTCCAAAACTGCACCCATCCGAAACCCGTTCAGTCCCCTGTCATCACCTGCCAGTCCC